ATACTTTACAAAAAATTCCAAACATTACAAAAACTGAAAGAATCCGAATTCTCACCGGATCATTGTGAAGCTTGCTGGCAACGAGCTTATCAATCTTCCTCTTGATTGGATTCGTCACCGAATTAGGGCCGTCCACAGGTGTATTGGTAGCCGGCTGAGTTAAAGCTGGCTTAGAATCCACTTCGGTCTCCATGTTGGAGAGGAGATGAGAGTTGGAGCCGGCTCGAAAGAGGAAACAGCTGGTGCCAGCCGGTCCACGTCACGAACGGAGGACGCAAAATTCCGTGGTGTGCTCGAGATTTTGCGGCCTTCATTGTTTCCATTTTGGCTCAAGAAAAATTTCTTAACTGGTTGCTTTATCACTGGAACTGAATGTGCTTATTTTACAAATTTTATAACTACTAGAAGGGTGTCATAGCTATATTTCAGCTCTAAACCACAGCTTTCGTAAATCATTCCTCTTTTTTTTCTCAGAATCAATCACATTCATTTCCATAACTTCATTTCTCTATATTTTAATGTATTTTATGGCACTTTGTCGGCCTCAGTAATATCTGATAAGCTCTCTAAGCTTCCTGATAACCTAACTAGTAACATATCTGCAAATTTACTTTTCTTTATTTGTTGAAGGCATTCTATTTGGATGCTTTCCTTCGAAGACTATGATATTTAGTCTCATTTTCCCTAATATCGTACATTTGAGTTTATTTCCTGTTTATAACTCTGGTTGTGACCTCATATCTCTATCTTGATTAGAGTATATCTTAATGAAGAGGTTTTTCAGTAAACTCCCTATGAAATGGATGTTCTTGGCACGGCACGTGCTTATATCAAGGAGATGGTCAATTTGGCTGGCCCACAGATGAAAGTTATTCTTATGGACAAAGAAACGGTGCGTCTTGACTGTCATTTTTCTGGAAATTTCGGCCAAGAACGAATTTTTTAGACCACAATCGTATCTTGTGCTTTCGCACAGTCAGAAATGATGCAGAAAGAAGTGAGTTGACTCTAGAAAATATATTTTTTCTGTTTCTTATGTTCTAGTCCTCCTTCTTTGTGTGTTTTGTTACATTGCTTATCACTTCATGTTATATGTGTTGCCTTATAGCCTATCTCGGCAGAATCAAAGAACGCAAACCCTTATACATGAACACAGAGGGGTTCTTGCTGATTTTGCTTTTATCTATAAGCTCACCACTAATGCACTTGACCTCAACCTTTTTGATATTTTTGAACAGCCACAGCGAGCAAATATGACTAGAGATCATAATTTCAAGGTTAAGTTGATAAGGCAAACCTTTCTTCTTATTAGCAAAGCTTCATTGGACGGGTGCAGATGCCCTGCAATAGCTTCGATCCTAAGCTTTTCAAGTACTCTTCTGCTGCATCTTTCTGTTTTCTTTTGTTGGAATACCTCCAATCCCGTAATATG